TTGATAGTGATTCTTTTGTACTCAGGAGAGATTTCAGTACTGGTGATTGTAGTGTAGTTCCTGAGTATTGTACATGACCTTTTGAGATGAATCGACTTGTATATATTGATGTTTTAAATTTTATAGATGTTTGATAGACTGCTTAATTGAAGGTTTTAGATAACTATGGTAAATTGTTTGGGAAATTGATTGACATTCTTTCCAAGTTAGATCTTGGGGCGTGACACCCGCGCTCTCTTGCGCCTGCCCGAGCGCACCTGCTGGAGCCCACCCGCGCGCACCCGCTCAGGCCAGCACGCGTCTGCGCTTTCTGCCATCCCGTGTCGGATCGGGTCAACCCGGAAAACCGACGGGTCGAGTCGGGTCCGCATTTTCGACCTATTTATATACCCAGGTCGGGTTATGGTTGACCAGTTTGAACCTACGTCAGTTCCGAGTTCAACCCGAATCCGACCCGTGATCCGAAATTGACACCCCTAGCTCCAGTAATAAGACGACAAACTAAACTATGTTAATATATTCTAACATTCCAAATAAGATGGCAAACCACTGGAAAATGGACCGCCGGAAAATTTTCCGCTTGAAATCCGCCTTAAAATTGCGTTTGGTAATGGATTATTTTCCTGCAGTGTTTAATAAAAGAAGGATAAAGTTCGCCCACTAATCACCGTAAACCTCGATGGGTCCATGTTTTATCTAAATGATAAATTATTATATGCCGAGTTTGAATATAGCTCGCGTTCAAACTCCTACAAAAAATGGCCACATGGCCAATATATGCTGCGTAGACGGTAGAACTTTGACGTGTTCATATGGAGTCCGGACGGCATCCCACTCCTAAATTAATAATTTCTCTATGAGTCTATCTAAACGCCTCAAGACCCGAACGCCAAAAAACTTGACAAACGGAATTAGTCAATTACCATGTGTTAGTTGTCTGCTTCATCACTGTTGTCGCCCTCAGGGCTGCAAAGGTGGCGCTGCGTTTCTCAGGGAAGTTAGCCACTCGCCAACGGTCAAGATTGCGCTATGCTTGGATTTGCGCTAAGGTGAGAGCGCTAGGCTCCATTGTGCCCCGAGGACATTAACACCAGTCGATTCTTTACTCTGATTCGATGAGCATGCTATCTTCATTTATACATGAACGTTTCAGGTAAATGATCGTGAGGTGTTCGTCCGATGTTCCCAATGAAAACTTCGTTTATCCTTTCACTATTCGACTTCTTAGATTTTTTTTTTTTTTGGTCTCGGTTTATAGTTTATATTAAAAGCCTAACAAACCAAACGCCACGCTTTTCTTGAACTAGACGTAAGATCTTTCTGCAGAAGGTATATTCCCATGAAGATCCTATTCTATAGCTGAGGAGGAAAAGAAGAATGAAAGTGGTATCTTGCTGAAGCTCCCACATACTTGAAGCGATTACAGATGAGCAAAAAGATGAGTCTTTCCTATTATTTCCCTGTTTTTCTCATTGTTGTTGCAACTGCCACATCCGCGTGCCTTGATGGCCTTGGGGTTGGGAAGGGGCTGCGGTTTTCCGGCAGCTCGCCTTTCAGGATCGCATTGTTTGCTGATCTGCATTACGGCGAGAACGCCTGGGATGACTGGGGACCCAAGCAGGACGTCAAGTCTGATCGAGTCCTGTCAAACGTTCTTGATAATGAAACACCAGGTGACACTTTTTTCTATGAGAAGTTTTACTGACAATGTTTAGTAAGTATTGGGTTGATGATTTTGGCATAAACTAGTAATTTATTAGCTAAATTACGGTGAGTGACATTGATGCGAACGCAAGCAGAAATCTATAGCAAAACGGTAAAAACATTGCATTAAGCGATAAATTAGGTGTAGCTTTCCTAAAGCTTCAAGTATAGAAGGATTTGGGCAATTGTAGAGCCTAGGCTCCATTGCTCCTACATTTTTGCTTGATGTCCTAATGTGTCAAAGATGGAATGTTTTATAGGCTATAAGGAAACCTAATGATCGGCTAATAACCTAATAACAATCCAAGATCTAATACCAATTAAATCACACATTTACATTTATTTCTATTATTATCATGCACTTCACAACAATCTTACCCTCAAGATTGAGCAGATCGTGTTGATGTTGGGTGAAAGCAATTGTCGTTAGTCGGATCTCATCGGAGTTGGCCGAATTTAAGCAAGAATCAGTTAGATTTAGGTTGAGTCAGTGTGGAAGTAGTAGGCGAAGGTGGATTTTAATGGAATCGGTGGGGAGGCAGTTAGCTAGTGGTGAATCTTGCATGTGGTGGATGGAGATTGATAAGTTTGATTTAGCGAGCAGCATATGTAAGCCGATTATGCTAAGACAGCTTGATAAAATTAGATATGGAGTTTCTGACGACAATAGCGATTGGAAATATGGGATTTTATTGATATGACTTTGAAACATGAGATATGTGATTAACTGCCAACATCATGATGCTTGAAGATCTTGGTGAATGGATTTGGTTTGCGATGATGGTTAGCAAGACCTAGTGGAGCTTTAGATGTGCGATGACATAGATCTTTTGACTGAGGAAGATGAAATGGCCGTTATAGTCATGATGTTGTCAAAGTATTGACTGTCGATGTGAGCAGAAGGTCGAAGAACAACACCTGCACGACAGCTAGGTCAACGAAAGCGCTATTAAAGCGAATATATGTTACTTATCTTATAATTTACGAATGCATTGTACCGATGATGTACTAGTAGTTGATCATAATTTCAGTATTGAAATGGAAGATCTCTTTTTTTATTGAAATGTATTGATAATATGAATCTACGAAGAAATATATTGAAAAATAGTAAAAATATTGTATTAAAAGATAATTAAGCAATTTCTAGCTTGCCTAAAAACCGATGTAATGGAGGGAAAAAGGAATTGGGCAAACGTAAGATGTCCACATCTTTTTGATAGTTTAGGCGTTGGGGTGGTGGAGGGAGTGAGCTGAAGCTCCATTGCTTCTACATGTTTGTTTGATGCCCTAATCTTTCATAGAGGGAGTATATTTATAGTCTATTAAGGAAAACTAATGGCCCACTAATAACCTAATAACAATCTAATAGGCCTAGCTATCTAATAGTAACTAAAACTCCTATTTACATTTATTCCTAGTAGAAATTAATAATCATAAGTCAATCCATGAAAGCCTAGCTCTGTCCTAAAAAAACCTAAACAAATAAAAATAAAGAAGAAAAAGAGAAGAAGAAGAAAAAGAAAAAAAACAAGGTCGATGTCGTGTTTAGACATTTGCTATATATTAGGTTTCAATTGACACTCTTCATTTGTATTCATAGTTTAGCTAAGTACTATACATTAGTTATAGACATAATAACACTCGTAGTATTAGAAATAAAAATTGGAAAGGTTATACTTAACAAAAGTTTGAATGCATGCTATCAACTACATATTCACATGAGCACAAAAGATTTTAGTTTGATAGAAATCAAATTTAAGCTATGATTTAGTTATTATTACTCTTATTTGTCATTCTTATGTAATAATTCACTGTGCATGGCTATCTTATCTCTAAGTAGTTCGATAAACATTTGAACTTTGTAACATGACATTTGATAATCCTATTTTGTAAGTTTTTTGTTTACTTGAAGACAAATCATAGTTTATGTTTGTGGTTATTTGATGAGTGAGTTCTACTCACTATAAAGTTCTATTGATTTAACATGTTTTCATGCAATATGCTAAATTAGGAGTGGTTTAATGACATTTTGATCAATGGAACAAATATCTGACGAAAATGCAATAATCATAGTGTATTGAAGAACAATTAATGATCACATGACTAAAGATAAAGTTCAATTTAAAGATGAACTTATAAAAAAGAAAGAGTCACAGAATGTCTAGGCCCTATATCATATATTGCTTTGGTGCCAAATTGACCAGCGCCAGCCTCTCTAGAGATTAAGCGACAAAATGTTGAATAAAGGACAGAACGTGTAATGCTTAGGCCCTAGTTCATAGCATTGTGGAGCCACATCCTATTGGAAATTTTTTGTAAGGCATGCAAGTAGTGCCTTGGTGCTATTGTGCTAGCGCCTAGGCCCTAAGATGCGGTCGTTTGAATTTTTGAAGCACTTTTAGAACTTGGAGTAGTTATAGAGGGGTTTTAGAGGGTGACATTGGGAGTTGAAAAAGGGGGATTTGGAGAGTAAAAAGAGGAAGGTATTGAAGGGATAATTCTTAGAGTTAGAAGGTTAAAATGAAGAAGAATCTAAGGTGATTATAGGTACATAGTTTACAAATGGTTACATTGTCTTTCTTATAGTTTGTCTTCTTCATTTGTATGCTGAATCTTATGAGTTTCATGGATTGTATCTCTCGAACTGCTATAATTATTATTTTTAGATTTACGGTGTAATTAGAACAAACTCTTTCAATTCAGCAGTTTGAATTTGTGTGGGTTTATTTTCCGGATTGTATGATTTATATATTGTTCATTGAGTTGTTTAAATGGCCATTATGTAACTTAAAATTTCACTGCATTTAATAATTCCAGAAAAAGTATATCATGCATTGTAATAGATAAAATAACATATTCTTAATTGAGATAGAAATTCTTGCAATCTTAAAAAGAATAGAACTTTAATGCAATTCCTTTTGATTTTGTTCACATAATATAGTGGACTAATTGAAGGGATTATGTCTTCTTATATTCAGATGAACTTAGAAGATAATTTTATTCTTGATTGACAAGCTATCATTTTATTAATTTTATTAAATTTTATTATGCAGTTAAAGAGAATGTTTTGAATTTTTGATGAAATCATAAATCCAGATTTTTCTTATTAAAGCTATATTAAAATTAAGGGTTAAGTATTAAAGATTATCTTTAATTGTTGAATAAAATTAAAGATAATATAAATCATTATTAAACTTTTTAGAAAATGTTATTTGATCATCACAGGAATGATTTTCTACTCATCTTATATTACTTATTTGGCAGTTATGTTTACGTATCACAAATTTAAACCAACATGTTAAAGCACAAGTTGAGTTGTGAAATAAGAGTATAAAATTGTATTAGATGCTTATTAAAAAACTATAAGAATTTAATGAAGATGATTAAGTGTTAGCTCGCATTCGCCTGAACATTTTATATATAACACATTTATGAAACTCCATTCTCGAGCTTCACTTTACCCAAAATACTTAAAAAGCTTTCACCAAAGATAATTTTTATAGATTTGCATTTTGACATGAATATTAATCCGATCTTCAATATTGATAATCTTATATCATATATTACACTTCTGAGCCTACAAACTTTGCAACAAGTCTACAAATTGAACAAACTAATTCCATTTTTACCTCTCGCTCCTGCCCCAGTCCCAATTGTTGATATTGAGTCTTTTAGGTGGGCAATATTATTTTCCATAATTGTATTTGCTTGTTAGTATCCTTTTACTATAAATAAGTAGCCACTTAAATGATTATTAAATAAATATTACATTGATATTTGCTCACTCTCTTTCTTTCTCTTTCTCCTCCTCATATACGCCATTTCTCTCGAATATCTTTATTCTCGTATCTATTTCCTATTAGAGTATTATTGGATCATCCCTGGTTTGGTTTTGAAACATCGATGGAGAAACTATGTAGTAAACCTAAATGCTGTAATTAGGTGTGCTGCAGCTGATACTTATTAATTGTGATGATAACGGGGGCATACTCTCTTATAGAAATTATGGTTTTTGAGTTTATTTATTCCTCTTTTATTCTTTTAGTTATCGCAGCCATGCCCTTTTAGTGACCTAAAACAGGATATTTGTTTGGAATGCTTGACCTTATAAAAAATCATAAATGTTATATCACAGACTTTGTAATCTATCTTGGGGATGTCATTACTGCAAACAACCTTCCAATTCCAAATGCAAGTATGTATTGGGTTCAAGCCATATCTCCTACTAGAATCAGAGGGATCCCTTGGGCAACGTTATTTGGTAATCACGATGATGCACAATTTAAGTGGCCATTGGAATGGTTTTCAATTGCTGGGATTCCAGAGGTTCATTGCCCACCGGAGAGCTCATTTGCAGGTAGAATTTGTATTCAAAAGGTCAAGGAATGTTCATGTTTTCCTATCTGAGGTCTTTTTTAATGATTTCTTCTTTCCCATTTTAAAGGGAAAATTTTTTATTTAATGAATAATATTTTCATGATTGAAGAAACTATTTTGGTATAGCATGATATTTGCCATTTCTAGTTAATGTTGATTAATAAGCATGCAACAGCTTGAGGAAGCACCTTTATTGTGCAAACCGTAGATATCAAGGTTCTTCTACTCCTTAGAAAATTACTTTATCAAGAAGGTTCTTGATGAAGATCTTTAACTCATCTATAATATCCAGAAAATAGAAGAGTTTAGTTTTATTTCATTGTGTTGAAATTCTAGACTCAACTCAACATTTCTGCTACCATAATATATCTATACCACTACACCACTTTTGCCTACACTCACGCTATCTCAAGAATCCATGAGATTACTAATTCCATTAGCTACAATAGGATGTAGATTCCTCTAGATTTGGTAACGACAGGATGATCCCCTTGCTCAGCAATCCATGGGATTGCTGATAATCCTGCCAACTAAAACAAGGGCTAGATGCATGTCCAACTTAGCAATTCACCAAGCCCTCATTTCTGATGCAAATATAATTAATTTATAGCTAGTCTTAAATTTCTCTTAGCTATATTTATATTTTAGCTCACTTGTATCTTCTAAAAATCATATACATTTACTTCTTTGTGAATAAGAAAAGATATGAGTAGGGCTACAAACGAACCGAGTATTTGAGTGTTCATGTTTGAGTTCATTTATTATTAGCTTGTTCAAGTTTGATTCGTGTTTAATTCGAGCTTTATTATTTGTGTTCATGTTTGATTCATTTAAATTAATGGGTGTCCATGTTTGGTTTGTTTAGTGTTTATCGAGCTTTAAACAAATAAGTCTTAACGAGCTATACTTCTAGATGTTCATTAACTTAACAAACAATTACACCGAGAATGTTTAGGAACATATTTAGCGATTTTTTTTTTAAATTATCAAACAAGCACTTTCATGAACATATCTAAAAAGTATTATTGAGCTATCAAATGAGCAAATTCATGAACATATATGACTAATTTTTTCAAGCTACCAAATGACGAGGAAGGGTTTCGGCATCAGGGGAGAAAAATTAGGACAAAATGACGAGGGAAGGGTTTCGACATTTTTTGCTTCTGTCTTTTGTCCTTTCGCATTCAGTGAAATTTAAGAAATATGTAAATTTTATTTTAGTTAGCATATATAATAATATTTAATTACTTTAAAATTTATTATTTAATAATAATTACATCATTATGTTATAATAAATATAAAATATTTATATTATGTATATTTATCATTTTTATAATCAAATATTAATTGAGTTTTTATCGAGTTATTCACGAGTTCTGAATCGAACACGATTCGAGCTTTTATCAAGCTTCTTATCGAGCTTAATGTCGCTTCAAATGATGTTGTTCAAGAATATAAATGAGCCGAACACATTAATGTTCAAACTTGTTTATCTAAGAATCAAGTATTTAAAATATTGCTCATGTGAGTGTATTCTTTCCTTCTATTTTTCTACTTAGAATCAAGGACTGATTCATATTCCATATTCTATTTTTCATGGATTTTAAAGATCAAATTTTAGCCAATATTTGAATGACTTTCAAAAGAAAGGAAAACCACTAGTTTAATCAAAAGTATTCTCAATTGTCAAAAGCTTGATATGTAATTAACCATAAAGGCTTAGACATTTGTACCCTAGAATAAAATAAACCCAATTTAACCAAATATTGAATGGGGGAGTCTGTTAAATTGTAAATTTTATTATTGAGTCCATAAGGAATTGATATTTTTATGTTTCGGTGTAATATATCATGTTTCTTATGCCGTATTCTATCATAAAATATGCAATCCGTTTGAGGACAACGAAAATTCTCCAAGAAGTGTGCTTGCCAATTTCAAGGGTAAGTGTTCTCTTCGTATTGATATGAGGTCTAAACTTTTGTATATTGTGATATGCTTTCTTATTCTTTTTTCTTCTACATTATCCATTTATTAGTCCGCATAGCCATCATTCATTTTTTGGTAAATTTTTTTTTGCAACTAGGTTTTAAAGTGTGGTGTGAATTCAAATTGAATTGTAATTTTTTTTTGTTTTTAATTTTCATTGGATTTATTTAATTTATTAGAACATGATATTATCATTTGATTTTTTTTTTATTATTTTCTTGATTGCGTCAAATTTTGGTTAACAATTGTTGAGTTATTGGTCTTTAAAATTGTGAATTTCATTTTGTGTGATTTCATTATTTTCATCATTTCATTGTAGTAGAAATACTAAACCATAAGATGCACAATATCAGTTTTTATTGAAGTTATTATGCATTATGGGATTCATACTTTCTTTCTAAGGAGTAGTGAATGGGTCCATAGCTAATCATATAACATCTTTTTGAAGTTTCCATTTTTCTTTTGAATTGCGAATTTCATTTTGTGTGTTTCTCTCCTACATGCTTAGCAAGTATTTAAAATTATTAATAACAAATGCTTTAGAGTTATTTGGTTGAAATATATCTATGATCTTGAGAATCTAGGGACATTTGAATGCTTATGTAACAGGAGAGAAGGATTGCAGCTTCAGAGGAACTACACGAATCGAGTTGATGAAAATGGAGATATTAAAAAATCCATTATCTCATTCTCAAATTGGTCCTACAGAACTTTGGCCTGCGGTATCAAATTATATATTGCAAATTTCTTCATCCAAGGACCCAGAATCACCATCAGTTTTCTTATATTTCCTTGATTCTGGTGGTGGCTCCTATCCTGAGGTCATTTCATATGCTCAGATTAAATGGTTTCAGGAGCAATCACAAGCCATCAATCCCAATTTACAGTAGGCAATGAAAGCGATATTTTTTTGAAAACTTTATTTTTTAAGTTTAATATCTTTATAAGTGAAGCACATGCCATCTTTGTTAGGGTCCCTGAGTTGATATTTTGGCATATACCTAGTCATGCATATAAGAAGGTAGCTCCTTGTCGGAAGTCCTCAATAAAGAGTCCATGCGTAGGATCCATTAACATGGAAGAAGTTGATTCCCAAGAAGCTGAATGGGGAATTATGGATGCTTTATTGAACAGGTCATCGGTAAAGGTGAGGAAAGCTGTACACTTGCTCTTAACACAAATATTACTACTCTATGCAGTATAGGCATTTGCATTTGGTATGAGTAGCTGATGAAATAGGGCATCCGTAGTCTTGAGTTTGATAGTTTTATCCCAACGTTTACAGAGTTAGCTTGGAGCCACAATTTTTTAATGAAACTTTCAGAATCAAAATTAGTTATGGTGGTTATGCTATTATAAACTTCACGACATTGTCTAGGGCCTAAAGGGAAAGAAAACTCCATCTTTAGTATCGAATATGTTGATCCTTCTGCTATTGAACTAGAACATTTTAGTTGATTCTTGTTTTCTGTATAATGACGCTTATATTCAAATCATTAAAGATATGTATGCAGGAGCTATTACTTGTGTTCAAACACAAGGTGGTTTGACCAAGTATTTCCCTATTTCGGTTGGGTTACATCAAGGATCAACCTTAAGCCCATATCTCTTTGCTTTAGTCATGGCTGTTTTCACTAGACATTTGCAAGAGGATGTACCTTGGTGTATGCTTTTTGTTGATGATATTCTTCTTGTTGATAAGACTAGAGAGGG